AAGATCTCGGTTGCATCAGAATTTCAAGTTCCACACTGTTGTTAAAAAAGAGTTTGATCTGATGTGCACAGAGAAACATTTGAAACGTGTGACCTGAAAGGTTCAAGTAACAAGGGGCAAGTGAACATGAACAAAAATATCATTTTAGAAATGTCATGATTTTTCAAGCTTATGTAAGTACTTTTGTATGCAATGCCTCTCATGTTGGGGTTTCTTTTTTTTCTTAACATATAGATTTGACAGTAAGGGAAATCTCACTATAGGGTCAAAGTGGGTTACATTGAAACTTCTTCCTTCAAAGTGCTGCGGAGCTGCTGACCTTACAAAAAAGTGCATGGAAAGCAACACAAGAACTGGGGCAGTTAGAGGTGATCTGGCTTTTGACATCTTCTAATGCAGAGGGATTAGAAGATGGTGTCAAAGCCTGCAAGAATCTAAGGAGGAGTCACAACTTCTTCTCAGGAGACCAGAGGACAAAGGCAGGGCCAAGAAGTCACACAACACACAGTGGAGAATTTTTCTGAGGTTCAGTACAGCGAAGTACAAATGAAATGGAACCTGTAAGTCAAATCAAAATGTTTCTGAAAGATGGGTGCCTCTTTTAGACAGGCCATACAGAACAATGAATACAGATGGATTTGAACTCCAGAGACACCATTTTTCCTTTTTGTAATTTTCCTCTTGCCAAAGAAACTTTTGGCAAAGAAAACATTTCTCCAAAAGAAAGATGCTGTGGTTGGCTTTTTGACAGCAAATTTCTATAGATCCTAATGAAGGAGACTCACTTAAATTTGACTGCACAGAATTACTCACCGATGCCTTTCTAACTTTCTTTCCTTGTGCCATGTTGACATTAGTATATAGCCCCCAAATCCTGTGCAACTGCAGGTAATGTCCCACACTCAAGAAATTTCTGCAGGGAAAAAAACCCACCAAAACTAACAACTCACGGTTTGAAAGAAACAAATGGACACAGATAAATAAATATACACACTTTGTGAAGAACAGCTCTTTTCCCTGTGGTTCAATTTCATCAGTCTAAATATGAAAAAGTAGTGATAAAAATGTATCCATTAGATTCCAGGGTGAAGAAATTCTGTTACTTGGTATGAGGGCGAGCTGTTTTGCTTATAAAAAGTAAAAAGCAGTGTGTAGTTGTTAATGGACATGTTTATGGCCACAAGTTGCTATAGCTCGATCTTTTTTCAGAACATACAGATTTGATGAAGACCTATTTTGGGCAGGATGCCTTGTTCTGTTAGGACTTGTTTTTCTTGTATTCCAATGGCTGATTAATTCCTGATTTATTTTTTTTTTTCCATCTGTGTGTGTGCCTTTCTGAGAATTTTTGCTTTGTTTTCTTGAACAGAAAAACCTCAAAAGCCCAAGCAGAATTACAGCATCCAGTCAGACTGGAACACATATTTAGAAGTTTTAGAAAGAAAAAAATTGCCTTTTTCTTCTTTTTTAACCAATGCTGTTGTCAAGCAGGAAAAAAACCAGCAAGGAAAAGCAGCTGCAACTGAAAGAAATGAAGTGCAAAGAGCATGAAATACAATTTTGCATTGCTGTTTTTGGTGATATGTGGGGATAATAATAGATCACACCTAGACTATATTAAAACATGGTCCAAGGGATAGGAAGACATTTAATTAGTGGAGAAAAGAGACCTCTGGCAGGTTGATTGACACACAGATCTGTTTTCTAAAAGCATGTTCAGACCCTCTTATTCTTAGGACAGCCTTTGGACAGGGCCTGGCTTGTTCAGATTGTGGTAGGTTAATAAGGATACTGAGCAAGTTGCTGGAGATAATTATGCATTAGCTGGAAGGGGGGGATTGTTTCATCCTGTTGAAGTGAACTCTGTGTAGTAGAACATCACTCCACTGTACTGAAAGTAAACATTTTGACTTTCATATTATTTGTCAGCTGTGGAGAGTGGGAAAAATGGAAGAAAGCCAGGGCCCAGCATCGGCTCTGGATAGAGGAAATTTTGGCTCCTCATTATCTTGATGGGAAAAGATGCAGCTTGGTTCTGCAGTGTTGGATTATCTGAGCTCCATATTCCACCAAGCTTCTTGAGCTTGGCTGAGCAAAGGCTGCCAGGCTGCTCCTGCACTTGTGTTTGGGATGTTGTTCTGCAGGAAGATTGAAGACATAAATAGCAGGGCTTTGGGTCTGTGAACCTACACAGGACTGACATGTCAGAGGTGTGGGAGAGCAAACAGAGTCTTCCAAAAGCCATCTTTCCTGGCAGCCCGTTAGTGAGGAACAGCCTTCACTCCTGTTTTCTCCTGCACCAAAACTCACACACAGAAGCACTTTGGAGAGGCTCCTTTCCATACGCAGCTAATAGAAAGTGCTGGCGGAATTAGGTGCCAAATTAGCTATTAATCACCTTAGTGACTTTGTAGGTTTGTTTTAAGGCTAAATCCTCCATAGGCTTTACTGACTTCCCTAAAACTTTTAGTGGCTTGAGAAGTCTATACATGTTCATCAGAATCCAGAACACTTCCTGCCAGACCTTGCCTTAAGGCAAGGTATATCTGAGTTTCCAAGTAATGATGCACCTGCCAGAGAAAGCAAATTTGCACATTTGGGTATTTATCTTGTCAGTGCTGTTGTTTTGCTCAAGACATAGCTATTCTTCTCTGAGTTGTCATCCTAACACCTCAATCTGATCCTTTTGAACACCTGCAAGGTTAGGATGAAGAGCCATTGCCCTTAGGTGGGAGATCAAGCACATCCTGATGAGAGATTCCCAGGCAGCAGAGCTCTGAGACAATATTGGTCTGAGGGCTGGTTTCTGGGTCATAAGGAGAGAAATTACAGTGGTACAGGCAGAGTCCTTCCACTGACTTTGTGAGCTTTGTCTCTGGCTCACAGAGGCAGATTTGTATTGTGGCGTGGAAGCATTTTGATTCTGTATTTGATAGGAGAGCCTGACAGCATAATTATGCTGTGATAGGAGGAAAGCTCCTAGAAACAAAATCTTGTATCCTATGTATTATGATTGTGACAAAAATACTTACTTATGACCAAATTAGTTTGGTGAGGCAGATATAAATTAAGCTCCTTCTAGTGTTCACACATATCAAAATTTGGAATTTAAAGACAGGCCATCTGAGCTACTATACTGGTAAAATAAGATTATCATTCCTCCCTGCAATATGCTTAAAATCTTGACAGTAATGGGACAAGTAATTTTTCTCTCCATATCAGCATGACCCCCTGGGAAACAGTAGGAGGTACATCATGTGCCAATTGAGAGTGGAATATAAAACAAAAATCTATAAACACAAGGCATTACCATTTTTTTATTGTGGTTACTACAAGGACCATAAATGCTGGCTCTGAGGATTCCTTTTCACATCTGTTTTTCTCGTTGACATCTCTTCAGTTATTGTCTCAATCTCCTTTTAAGTGTAAGATGTGCAGGGTGCCTCAGCATTTTGGTTATCATATTGAGGTAACCCAAGGCTTTGCATTCAGTGTGAGGACACTGCTGGCAGTGCAACATCCCTTGAAACATATCCAGTCCCACCACATTTTGGGAAAGGCTGCACTTAGTGAAGAGGGCAAATGCCTCATCAGTCTTTTGCTGCTTTCTTTCCAAACAGGGAAAAAACCTGTGCATACACACTTCAAGAGGGATGAAGTTAGGATGTGGTGCTGTGCATTAAAAATTTCCTTGGCTCGCTGGAGCAAAAGACTCCTGTGGCTGAGTATGTGGGCAGAACTGTTAATACATGTGCCAGGTTCTCAGCTTCTCCAGTGGTGAAATGGGGACCAGCTTGACACAGCCTCACCATTCTCAACTGATGTTTTATTGTTATAATTTGGCATAGGCAAGTAAAATAAGGTTGGGCATTGGGACCTAATACCTGCTGCATCCAGTGGGAGCCACACACCCCACGAGCCTGGATGGACTCCTTACAACAAACTGTTTCACAAACTGCTCAAACTGGCACACTGAATAAATATACACTTCCCTTAAATGAGTATACACTTGCTTTCCACACAAAGCCCCCAGAGCATTCACACTTTTCTATGAGCATTTACAGAGGAAACAGCACTAGCCCTATAATTGTCCACATCAAAATCTGTTTATTTAGTGAAGTTGTTTATTATTCAGCTGGAGGTACCAGGAGTGATATAGCAGAGAATTGCCACAGTATTAACAACCCAGGAGTGGCCATCACCACCAGCATTATTGTTTATTGCCTTTCCTGTGCACTGAGGCTGACTTGTTTACAAGCATAGTAACTAAAGAGCCAGAGCTCTCTTTATTTGCCACCAAGTGAGCCTGCAGGGAAGAGCAGGGGAAGAAAGCTTGGAGAAGGCATTGTGGTCACTAGTTGTTACAGGTGCAGTAACTAAAAACACTTGTCCCTCCATACCCTGCTCTATCCTGTGGTATTTTTTCTGTAAGACATGCCTTCATTTCTCAGTACTTTATATAAGCTTTTGACTGTAGGGGTAGTATGTTAATAAATGTTCACTGGAATATAAAATATGTACTTGTATTTAGTGAATAATAGATTATAGATCCAAGCATATCACTTAAAATGCTGTAGGTGTTTATGAGCTATTAGTAGGCAATTTATTATTGATCAAGAAGGGAAGGAAGGATCACAATTTTATTACAATCCATGAATCCTGTATTAATCCTTTTTAAAAGGTGTTCAAGTCTTGGTTAAAAATGGAGTGTGAGCCACTGGCCCTTTAGCAGTAGGCTCTCTGCCTGACAGTTGATAAGATCACACCAGGTTCTCAGCAGCTTTGGGACACTCCAGAGCACTGCTGACCTTTCCCACACTCAAACATGTATCCTCTGGTTTTAGTACCTCTCAGAAGCCATGATTTTGCTTTGGTACATCACGATTTTTATCAATTCCACGTGGTGCTTCCCTTTAAGAACTGACACTCTCTTTGTTTCACTCCCTGGCTAAATCTGCTTCTCCCCTCTTTTATGTGTCTCCCGCTCCTCTTCTCTGCAGGGTGAATGCTCACAAAAGTGCTACGACATCTTTGTGCTGGAGACGGTGTGTGTGGCGTGGTTTTCCTTTGAGTTCCTGCTGCGATCCATCCAGGCAGAAAACAAGTGTGCTTTCCTGAAAACCCCGCTCAACATCATCGACATCCTGGCCATTCTGCCTTTCTACGTCTCTCTCATTGTGGATGTGGTTTCCACAAAAAACAGCAGCAAGCCTGGCGGGGGAGCTGGGAACAAGTACCTGGAGCGCGTGGGGCTGGTGCTGCGCTTCCTGCGGGCGCTGCGCATCCTGTACGTGATGAGGCTGGCGCGGCACTCGCTGGGGCTGCAGACGCTGGGGCTCACCGTGCGCCGCTGCACGCGCGAGTTCGGGCTGCTCCTGCTCTTCCTCTGTGTCGCCATGGCCCTCTTCTCGCCGCTGGTCTACTTGGCTGAGAGCGAACTGGGAGCCAAGCAAGAGTTCACCAGCGTCCCCACCAGCTACTGGTGGGCTGTGATCTCCATGACAACTGTTGGCTACGGGGACATGGTGCCCCGTAGCATCCCCGGACAGGTGGTAGCCCTGAGCAGTATCTTGAGTGGGATTTTGCTGATGGCTTTCCCAGTCACGTCCATCTTTCATACCTTTTCCCGTTCCTACAGCGAGCTGAAGGAGCAGCAGCAGCGAGTAGCCAGCAGGCAGGTGCGCCAGTGGCAAGAGAACACTGAGTTCTCAGGTGGTGACAGTACAAGGGGGCTCAGTGCCACATTCCCACCAAGTGCTGGTGAGCAGGAGGGTCTGCCCTTGGCAGGCCAGTAAGCCAAGAGAAGTTCTTGACCCTGAAGACCTGAGGACATACATTGGCAGCACAAGATGCAGTGGACAGGGGAGGTCAGTTCTGCAAGAATACCTTGAACTGCATAAATGAGGGGCAGACACACGCAAGGTTTCTCCAAAGACCAACTTCTGATCTTAAGGGACCTCTGAAAAGTACCCCTAGAAATTCTACCAAGTCTACAGCTCTGCTCCATTGCTTTTCTTAGAGCTTTTCTATCGAGCAAGTATTTTTGGGTACGCCCAAGGAGCAGCCATTGAACACAGCCAGCCAGCAGAATGTAATGTGAAGCACAGCCTGTGCCAGGTGCCGTATGGCAGAGCAACCAGCGTGCCACCTCGTCCCTACCCTGCTCAGTGGCACTCCCTGGGCGAGGGGCTGCTCAAGGGGCTCCCCGTGCTGCAACGCCCCACAGCATGTTTGTTTTGGCAGCACCACCAAGGAACACAACCTCAGATAAGCCAAGGGGCGAGGGCAAGAGAAGGGCAGAAGCAGCCCTTCAGCTTTACCAGGGGCTTGCTTTTGTCTTCTACAGATGAGGCAGCACAGCCAGCTCTGAATTGTGTGTGACCAGTTTGCATTATTTAGTGGAGATGCATATTTACCATCCTAAGCTTTGTATCTTTGTCCCATGGCAGAAATATACATACAAAAAATCTTCCTGACTATGGTACTGATTAACCTGGTTTTTTTTCCTTTGCTAACAGTCAAACATAAAAAATACCATTACAAATGATGATGTTTCTCCACTTTCTGTTAACTATTTCCATCTCTCATGTATTGAGAAATGTGTTTAACAGGCCACTGAACCAGTCTGAACTACATGTAGCTGAAGAAGGCGAGGGTGATGTTAAACCAGCTGGTGATGTTAAGCCACCAGTTCCTCAGTGGTGGTGGCTGCACCGAGTGCAGTCACATGCAAACAGGAGTAGGGGAGCAGTACAGACCCGGTGAAGCCAGCGATACACCTTCAGTGGGCTCTGGCCTGAGCTGCAGTGCAGCAGCTGTGCTGTGTTAGGAGTAGCCTTTTGGTTTTGACCTCCTGCTAAGAAAAATACAATCCTGTCATTAGAACAAGTGTTCTGGCTCTTCCTGATTTTCCAAGGATTTAAGTCAGTTTAAAGGGAAAATGAATCATATGGTGACATCTGCATGTTTGCTTATTGATGCCAGCCCCATGCATGAGCTTTCCAGCCCCCACCCTGGAGGAGCTGTGTCCAAGTCAGGATGCTGTGTGGGTCTTTCCATGCTCCTACAGGTGGGATGTGATCAGGGAATGGAGGGAGAAGGAACCCAACAGTCTCCTGTACCTACACTCCTGTTTGTACTAAAGCCATGCAGTGTCACCCTCCATATCCTCCACCCACCAGGAAGGGAACAAAACCTGATATATTGAAGATGGGATTTGTCTGGTGTGTTGCTTTTTTGTTGTTGGGATTTTTTTGCCTCAGAATATGTTGTAAAACCAATCCTACATTAGCAAACTGTTGTATTAAACCATTCCTTATAGGAATGAAGCAAGGGAAATGGAAAAGTTACATTTTATTTTAATAAATTTTAAAAGCTTTGTGGCTGACTCTGCGTCTGGTGATTTGGGTGTGGGGGGAGGTGGTGTTTCCCCATGCTGATGTGACATAACACTTGTTACTTGCTGCTGAGCACTGCAGGAGATGGAGGCAGCAAAACTGAGCCCCCCCTACTGTGCAGGATGCACCTGGGTCAGCAAAGCCCCAGCTGTATTGAACTGCAGGCAAACCACACACAGGTGCCCATCCTTCATGGTCCAGCAGCACTGGGAACACAGCTGCTCCTTGTGCTGGAGAGGAGGGCCAAGGGCTGGTGGCTGGGCTGACTCAGACTCTCAGCAAAGCAAGGCCAGCCAGCACTGGGTTGCTATGACTCATGAAAGATTTTGGTTTTTTTATTCCCGGTGCGGGCATTTCTTTCATTAAGGATTATTAAGGTCTGACATCAGGGATGCAGCTTTGCAGCCAGCTTATTGCAAACCAGCAAAGGGAGCAGTGGTGGGGGGACAGTGTGGCCTGGTGCTGAGGGGCAGCACTGCATCTTCTGGTGGCATTCAGATGCTCAGTCTTAAGGTGGCACCCGACAGACTCACTAGGTGGACTCACAAGTTCACTGCTCATGGTGATTTGGTTCATGCACACCAGGTGTGTTTCATGCTCCTTCTCCAGTGTGAATGAAGTGACCACGGCTAGTGCACATGGAGGGTGCAGGATGCATGTCCTCAAGGTAGTGAAACCCAACAAACTGAAAGCACCCTTACCTTACTACTAGAAAAGCCATGTTGGAGTGGACATTCTTGCAGAATGAAGTTTCACACTTGCAGTGCTAGCAAATAACCATGAATCAATGCAGCTTTTGCCCTTGCAGCATGACAAAAACAGTGCTGGGACAGCAAACTGCAGCTCAGCAGCTGTGTAGAAAAAGACTGATGACACACACTGTATTATTGCTGTTCTCCATCAAGTTGCTATTGTCCTACAACAGTGAGTTCTTTGTATTTTTCAAAAGGCACATAATTAATTCCAGCACGCACAGAGTTTTAATAAAGTGACAAAACCCACTCATTATGTCTCCTAGTCAAAGCCTGTATTTTAATAAAGTTTCATTTCATCTATTGGGATGACAGATGAGGAAACAAATATAAACCAGGAACCTTTTAAACAAATTATTTTTGGAAGCTTCATAAAGTTGTGATGTGCACATTGCCAGACATAAAAGACACTCGGAGGAGAAAAAATTTCACCCAGGGCAGCTGTTGTTATGGGTGATGCTTATTGCTTTTGATCAGCTGTGGGAGAATGTTGGTTTTGTTGTGTATGGTGGTTGGGTTTTTTTGACACACCACACAGATGATTTTAAGGCCATTTATCTCTAACTATAATAAATGCCACACTGCTGACTGCAGGCACACCAGTGCCAGCAGGTAGTTATACCTGTTTCTTTGAACAACTAAGTGCTTCCCAGTCGTAGCACACTAGCTTTGCCTCAAGGAAAAAGAAAAAAAAGGAAACAAATATTCCTCTCTCTCATATGGGACAAAGATTTCAAATGTGAGCAAAGCCACCTCTTCTACGTGTCAACCATGCTGGCAGCACGTGTGGATCTGGACCTACAAATTTTGGCAGCTGGCAACACTAGTCATGAAAACCATAACTCAGGAGAGTTAAGGATGTGTTAACTGGTAAAGGGACAGAGTTGATGGGAACATCATGAAGTCAAACACAACTTCAGCTCATACAGCGCATGTGCACAGCCACCTCCTACCACACAGCAGCCTCAGTTAAGAAAAAGCAATAATGCAAAGAAAAATGTGATGCTGGTGTCATCTCAACTGTAAACGGGACAGAGGCTGCTGTCCCACACTGCTGAGGCCAGAACAGGCACAGGCTATGGCATCCTCACAGCAGATGCTTCAGGGGGCATAGCATCCTTGGCCTTCCCTTTGCACCTACAAGGCACAGCCCTAGAGGACTGTGAAGCCTTGGCATGGAAGAGGACAGAGGCACATGGAAGGGGTGATAGGTAGAGAAATCCAGCGTGGTGCTGCTGGCCCATCTGTGGCTGAGCAAAGCCCCTCACTCTCAGCTAGCACCTACCAGAGCCAAGTGCACGTAAGCCGGGACACGGAAGGGCAAGAGGGGGGGTCTGAAATGCTGTGTTTGCTGTCGGTGCATTTCTAGATGCTGACATCCACTTGGGACTGGCTGCTTTACAAGGCTGTTTACAGGAAGACCTGCCCCTGCCCCGGGGTGAACCTCACATTATGTTCTAGTTCCTGTCTTTTAATTACTGCTGTTGGCACAGGTATCCAGGCAATGTTTTATTTATTGGCACACTGTTGACTTACATATTGATGTCTTCTTTCTTACAGAAAGCCTCCAACAAAGCTACGATTGTCAGTCAGGTCCTTGAAGTCTGCTTGGCCCTCGAGCCTAAGGATCACAATCACATTTAACAAACAGATCATGTGGGCCAATTTTTGCTTAATACCCAGTACCAAATGTGAGCTTTATTTTATGTCTTAGAATGTTTTTAATTGCACCTAACTGCAATTAAACATCTAACTAACTGCAATCTCAAACATCTAACCATGACATTTCTCCCTCCCTGGAGCCGAAGTGCAGACCACTGCCTGCCATGCACAGCAGAGGGAGAGATTTGCCCTGAGGGAGGCCTGGTGCAGCACTGCATCAGCCAGCAGGGCCAGGCTGCTGCCCTGGCTGCTGCAGCACCCAGAGATGGGTTTCCCCATTGTTTCTTTTGGGGCCAGCCCCACCACTGCTTTCCCCTCAGTGAATGCCAAAGCAGCAGCCAGTAACACCAGCACTGTCTGGGAGAGAAGGTGCAGGCACTGCAAGTGTTGAGCAGGCTTGACTGCTCTAAGAACTGCTTGGGTCTCCACTGCCAGCAGACTGCAACAAAGCAGGCAGGGTTTCCTCCCTGCCCTCACATCCCTCCTCCTTCCCCCCCACTTCACTGGTTTACCTATCTTTACCTTCATGTTTTTGTTTTCCTTCTTTCCCTTCCCTTCAGGAATATCACCCTTCAGCCCTTTATTTGAGCAAGCTCAGTCTCCCCCACATCTCTCCTCCCGCCCTTCCCAACCCTCTCTCCTATGCCTCTAGCCCTCCCTCCTCCCCAGCTCCCCTTCTGCAGCTCCTGCAGTCATTGCACAGACCAGTACCAAACCACCTCTCCATGCCAGAGCAGCCCAACATCCTGGATCAGCAGCCTGGCAGGATCCAGGAGGTGCATAGCGGCTTCAACGCTGCTCCTGAACAGTCTTGGCTTATTTTCCCATCCAGAATGAACAGGGAGGGTGGCCAAGACTTCTCTTGGGGCAGCAGTTGGCCATGAGATGACAGACTCGGTGTTCTTCTGTGCAGAGGCTGCCAAGAGCACATCCCTCATCTGTGTCCCATCTTCAACCTCATTCTGCAGTCTGCACAACTGACAGTTCTTTTAAAGCTACATAATAATCTGTTAGTAATTTGTTTTTTACTGTGAGCTTTGCAAACACAAATAACTTCTGTGGTCTCAATGGTTAAGTTTACACTGGTATGCATGGAAGAGCAGGGGAC